ATACAAGTGCTCTGGGAGTGGGGGTGGGGAGTGCTTTAATTAGAGTGGCTCTGAGAACCTCTCTAATTAAATCACCTGGAACATCACATGCATCAGTCCCATGTTGAAAATGATGGTGGGGGCATTTTAACTAAAGTTTCTTGAATGAACTTTAATTTAAAGGACCCCACTGCCATTTTCCAGCTTGGGGATGCTGATACACATGACACTGAAGCCTACTGGAGCATGGTAATTACTTTCGATTAATCAGTCTGTTCCGACGTGCTGCAGTTACCTCACTGCGTACGTACAGGCACCCAAAAGTGCCTAAATCTCATTCACTTTTGAAGGGGTTGGCCACCTAACTCTCCCAAGCCCCTTTAAAAATTCCACCTTTTTCATGGTCAATGACACAGATCTGTTAGCTAAAGGAAGAAGAGTTGTGATAATCAGGGATCCTGGTTCTGTATGAAAAAGAATCCCCAATTTTCAGATTACAAAGAGTAACCTAAAATCCACATTTTTTCATGATCAAAATGATCAAAATGAAACACCACTCTCTCTCTCTCTCATATATATAAGTGGTGTTTCATTTTAATCACAGAACAATGTGGATTTAGGGTACCTTTTTTTAATCTGAAAATTGGGGATTTTTTTTTTAATCAGAGAAAACCAGGATCCCTGGTGATAATTTATATATTCTTTATATAAACTAGTAGTATCTCAAGAACAAAGTCATGGCTAACATCTCATCATGCCAGATGCAGCACAAATATATAACTAGATGAGGGATGAAAAAGAAGCAACTATGTGACACTGATGCTTAAATCCTATTGAAAGTCATTAATGTGCTTTGAAACATCTTGTCCATGGTCCCTGCCCTGAAGAGCTTACAACAGTTGAAACCAGCATCAAATTAATGTAATCCACCATAGGAAAAAGAAGAATGAAGAGTGAGAGGAACAGAACTATGATAAAAATATGCAAGATTTTGTCAAAACGCTGCTAATATAATTTTGTTTTTCAAATATTTGCATTAACATGGTTATTTAAGGGATTGTTTTAAAAATTACCTAAATATATAAATAAATATAGCATTAAATGTAAACGTAAATGATCAATGGCAAAAACAGTAAACATAGCACCTGTTATCTTTCAATAGAGACGCTGGCCTAGAACTTCCTTCCCTACAGAGTCCATCCCAGGCTTAAGGACCCAGATCTATTTACCTTTCTGTAGAAACAGCCTTTAACATTAATGGCCAGCTCCAGAATCTACTGAAGTCAATTGAAAGACTCCCACTGACTATAACGGGCTTTGAATCAGGCTCCAGCACATTTAGTTAACTATCACAACTGAACTTTGCACATAGAGACCCAGTTTATATCTGTCTAGGAGGATAGAGTCTTAAATGTTTTCTCAAAAAAAAAAAGAAAAGATTTTTTTCATATGCTTATGGAAGATATCATTCCAATAGTTAGTCACTGGCACTAACAAGATCTGTCTCATATCCCATTAAACATTTATAGAGCAGCACAAGAAAATAGTTTCCTCACATTGTAAAAGGCAAAATCTTCCCTGGTGAAGACCTGCATGCTGAATTTTGGCAAAACAAGGAAAGCAGAACTTACCTGGAACTCCTGCACTTTAATTCTCATATATCTGAGAGTGAAGTACTAATTTGGATGTAATTTCAGACTGACAGTTTAGCAAAACATTATCTGTACTATAGCCCAAACACAAAAAAATGCATTTTTGTGCTTCTCATGTGCCCATCATTCCACTTTTGTTTTACCAACCCTAAAAATATATATAACACATTTCCATTCACTTTAAAAATAAAATCATAAAAAAATTCAGGAAAGATAATGTAAGTTGTTATAAAATACTAGTTTTCAATCAATATAGTGGTTAGATTAATCATACTCAGAATAACTTTAGCCCTGTGATTATAACATGATTTTATAAGAATTTTAGCAATTACCAATGTTACAAAATCCATGAAGCCACTGGATTTATTTATTTATTTCTATGTATTTCTATTATGTTCATCCTTGTAGTACTTGAGTGCCCAGGCACATTTGGTTTATTTGCACAGGAATGAAACAGCCACTTGCTAATATAGTAACAGACTGGAATTTTTCAAAATGACCCTTACGATAACTCAGAAAAACGACCAATTCTTCAATGCAAATCCTCTCAAAAAAAGCTTCTGCACACAAAGTAAGATGAACCAGTTACTGCATTGTTTATTAAGTTTCACTTGATTCCTCCTGACAACCATTTAAACAATGAATGTTGGGAAATGTCCCTCAAAGAATCAACAACAATGGTAGGGATCAGAGCTTTTATATTTAGCTAATACTGTTTTTAAAGAGGAGAAAATATTTCTTCCTGAAAGGATTATGGGAAGTCTTATAAAAGACACCTGCAAACAAAACAAGTGACAAAAGATCTTTATCATAATTGATAATGGTCATCCTTCCTACAAATTGATGCTTCCTTAAAAATAAATAATGTCATATACCTTTGGTATTGTATCCAAGATGCACTGACTAATCAGCCCAGCTGATAGTCCAGAGTAGAAAGTTTTACCAAAGAAGACTATGCTGAAGAGGAAGCATTTTTCCTCTCATGCTCTGAGAGAGAAAAAGTTAAATGCAAAAAAGCCTATAGTGAAATTCTAACTAACCACGCCCCATTTTATGCCCAACAGAATATTTAAGTGTTGAAAAAAATCTCATTGTAATAGATTAGATATGCATATCTATTGTATTTTAACAAGCTCCTCATGGTTTCTATTACTGTACAATTTCAGAAATCTGTTTTTCACTTGCAAGGCAAACTTGAGAATATGTGCCATAATTTATTCAAATGACCTATTTACAAGAGATTAAGTACTCCTGAACATTAAGCTTTGGATGGGAAACCTTTGTAAATCACAGGTTTCACAATATGGATAAGAAACTTGATAGTGGTTAAAAGAATATTATAGTCGCATTATGAAATGCGTTACTTTTTCATCTCAGATCAGTTTGATTTTGGTACATGTGCAAGCCACTGGCATTGCCTCTATTAGACTACAGCATCTGGGTTCCTACTAGCAACAGCAGTGGCTGCTTGAAGACGAATGTAATATATTACCCCCATTAGTTGGAAAGACCTCTATAACAACCTCCAGCACTGCACAACAGGGCATGAGTCCATCTCCCGACTTGAGTGACAGCACAGGATACTTAACCCTGTCAGATACAATATAAAAAAATTGCCCTACAACTGATTGTTTCCCTCTGTTCCCTTCCCACACTCAACTTCTCACCATCTCTACTTTCTTTTGTCCCCAATTGTTCTCCCAGTTCTACCCCTCTGCCCACAAACTCCTCCTCTCTTTGATGTCCTGGGAACAATATCAGCTTTTTCAGCAACCCTTGGGAATTGAGCAGAGTGGAGCGGAGAGTTAGAGGTATGGCAGAGGAAGGAGATTGCTGATAAGGGGAGCCAATCAAGTCTCAGAAACAGCAGTAAAAATAGAGCCACACCACCTAATGGTCCACTCTGCCTGAACTTATTCAGCCCTGTGCACAGCAGGGGTAGCAATAAGCATGGTATGCCTAGGAGGCCACTGAGCAGGCAGTAAGTACTAAGTAGAATAAAGGAAGCCAGTGAGTAGGCAGCTGTGTTGTAGCATAAAAGGATGCAAAAGCATTGCCTTAAACCAGCTGAAATGAAGCCAGATTTACTTTCTAATGAAGAACAGTTAATAACTCTGAAGAAATGCATATCTGAATCCATATAAAACTGATGGAAATATATAGCTGAAATATAGATTCTTTATGTATTTTTAGAAACCTGTAAAATTCAAAATTTTGACAACTAGAATCAAGAAAATATCAGCAAACACAAAGTATTTAAGCTTCTAATGGAACTTCTCCAAGCAAATAAATAACATATTCCTTCCTTTTTCTTCTCCCAAATGATCTACTGTACTGCGTTTTGAAAAACAGGACAGAAGGCTCCATCAGCCTTAAGCTATGTATGCAGTAGAATAAAAAGATATCATGTTAAAGCATGTTTTGACTAATAATAGCCTAAATTAGTTTTTCAGAAAATTCTGAGTATTAATACTTTAAAAGATTATTTATTTTCTTTTAATGAATGTAAGGGGAAAAAATTAAACACACAGGTGAAATCTTCATAAAGTGAACTATAAACAGAGAAAATAAAATGCCCAGTAAATGTGCTATAGAATACATTCTTGAATTGGTAGTGGTGAACCTATAGATGACCTAATACATCTTTTCCATGTCTAATTTTTATGATACTAAATTCAAAATATTAAAGGCAATAATATAATGTGTTTGTTCTTAGAAACTTTTTGCTTTCTACAGTATTTCATGAAAAGGAATGGCCATGAGGGCCTCCAATAAAACAGAATCACTTTAATGCTAGAAGAATAACCCTTTCCTTCATTACCAAAATCCTCTCTGCTTTGTCCATTTTGATATAAGCAGTAACTTTTCTCTCTTGTTCCTATTAAGACTATTATTTTCACCCTATTACACTAATCTTTTCTTTGTAAATAGCCACACCTGTTTTAATCCAAAAATGGTGTGGTAAACATTTGATTCTTTGTGGAAGTACACACGTAATTAGGTTAATCTGTGCGATCTTTTCAAGTGAGTTGATTGTTTCTTTACTGTGGACATATTTCTCATAACAGCAAAAGGCTTGCCAGATTGCTTGGAGGCAAATCAGGAGCAATTTACCAAGCATGTAGCTACTATGAACTGAAATCTTGACATAATAGCAAGCTTTGTATAGCCACTCCTACCTGTCAGTTATTACTCGTGTTAGCTTTTTATTTACACAGTAAATCTTGACCACACCCTCCTTTCTCAAGTAAGCACTTTCATTAAACTCAGCTAGTTCTTTGAAAGATATATTATTCAGTTTTATACGTCAACAGAATATAAACTCGTAATCCAATATAATACTCTTCATAAAAGTAGTGACTGTATTACCTGCATGAAGTCCAAAAATGTTAACGGAAGCAAATCATCCAGATGGCCAATATCTTTGGAGAAACGGTTTAGGATTCTCCCTATAAAACAGGATTCAAGTAAAAATATGTTGTTTTTTTCTAACGTAATTCATTTCTAAAAAGTCACCAAAACAAAGACAAATTATGCTATGACATCATCATGATAACCACTAGTGCAACATTTACATACAACATGAAATGATTCCCTAAAAGTTGTTGTATGGTCATGCCCATACAGGTTTAGTGAGTATCTAGATGGCACCTAAAGCCCCAATTCTGCAAATCTGCACAGTAAAGTATAATTTTAGGTATACAGGGTAATGTTTTCTGGGTGGCATCTTAACAATGATGTATGTCAAACAATATTTTTCTGGTCCTCTTATTCTGGTTGAAAATTCCACTGTCATTAACACTGTATGCAGGTATTGGAAGCCTACCATGAGGACTGCTTCAGCAACTATAGTACTGTCTTGGTTTTTTAAACAACTGAGATTTCCCATAAAAATACAGTAAAATCTTAGTAAACATAAGTTCAAGTTGTAAATGTTACTGAAATCGAATCTGAGTTTGTTTTATATTAATGTATCATTGTATTTATATTTATTCAAAACCTTGACAATGCTGATCTTTATTAAAACTAATAACACTATTTTAATCAGTTATCACTGAAGCATTTACACTCTCCTATTTTCTTGAGTTCTACTTGACTGAAAATATTCAGAGAGCAAAAGATCTTTAATAATTAAAATCGAATCTCTATCACCTGTACATAGATAAGTACCAACCTCCATAGTGTGTTGGTTCAACTCATGGGGAAGGAACAACAACCTAAGGAACAAGACTAGCTTTTTACAAGGTATTCAGGCTTGAGCATGCATTTATGCTTCTTTACTTACACATATTTTGGCTTAATTATTGCAAAGAATTGTTTTTACCAGTGAGAAATAGTGGCAAGAGTAGAAAAAATAACTCTTTAAGAAATAATAAAATAAAATTAAAAAAAAGAAAAATCAAACCAATTCACTGAACTAAGAGTAAATAAATTTCACATTTTCACAGAGTGCTGGAGCCCTAAGCTGAGGACTGAATAAGCAATAAAAGTAGCCTTCATACAAACATCCTAGTTAAAAGGTGACTTAATAATGTAATGGATAATGAAAAATTATTTGTATGTATCTGAAGAGTACAGCACATGCTAGTGTTACTTGTTCAAAGGCTCAAGACTGACAGTGGGTGGGGCTGAAAGACAAGACGAAACTCTACCCTGGACAAGTTAACCTATGCCATTTTTTACCTTCTGACATGCTTGCAAAGATTAATGTTCTGTATTATCTATTCTGCCATGCTTTTTCCTCATGGGGATCTATGGGGATCTCTGAGGCAGGTGCCAGCAGGTGGTGACCTTGTTACACAAATCCAGTGAGAACACACAGGAAGGGTGAACTGGGAGTACAGGGCTACCACCAAGACCTCCATAAAGGTGGCCTGATGGATCCACTCTGCTATCTATTTCACACTGGAATGGACAGAAAGAAAACAACCCCACAAAGAAACCCTCATTAAAGTCTCTTTCTTCTTGACACCATACCCACCGCTCCCTCCCCCCTGGCCCCTTGAAGGTTTTGATGCAGAAGGAACAGCTCACTCTGTAAAGCCTTTGCACTGCAGTTTGGTTCCTGAAGTTTGGTTGTGGCTTGGAGGCAATCCATTGCCTTTAAGACCCTCTGACACTGTTTACAACCACAAGAGATTTGGCTTTCAATGGATACGTATTTTTTCACATTGACAGGAAAAGTCAGGAGTGATGTTGCCCACAGTGCACTACATCTTATTACTCATTACTATGGGCCAATGAAGTTGGGAGCCACTGATCTCAAGTCACATTCCAGGATATCTTCAGAACAAAGTGGTACCAACAGGATTTTTAAGGGCGGGGAGGGGAGGAAGAAGGGGCAGGGCTTAAAATTTAACCTGTATTTCACAGGAAAATTCCACAATGACCTGTATAAAAGTAATATATTGGGAAGAAACTGAGTATAATTGACAGCTCAGTGGACTGGAAACTTGGGGAGATATGGGTTATATTAGCAGCTCAGCCACTTGCCTGATGCAGAACTTGAGTAACCTCATTTCTCCTTTCTATGAAAGGCATCTCACTTCCCATAATAAATGGGGACTGAGATGCTGAACCCCTTTATAAAACTGTTTTGTGAGCTCGTTATGACAGTCTCTGTGTAAGATCCTGTTGTTACAACAGCCCAGAAAACTGAGCTTAATTCCATTTTGAACTTTACTTTGCCATTAAACATACACTAACTTTATTTATAATAATGACAGAACTGGTGGCAGAGCCTGGTCTTTGAGAAATGACTCCCACAATCAAAAGCAATACACCTGGAAGGCAAAGGAGTTCAAATTGGATTTCTTTCGATACCAGCAATACAATGAAGGTTAAGGCTAGCAGTAACAAGGAGCATAGGATACCCTTACCACATGATTCTGCAAGCTGGAAAACACAGTCAAATTTGTTCCAATAAAATACTATGGTCACTCTGACAGATGGGAAAATAAAATGTTGTTCCAATTACACATCAGCCTCACAGTTTCTGGTTGTTTTAAGATGACAGCTTTATCTACTGACTTAGAATCAAGTAATCCAGAAAGACCCAAAAGATTAAATGCAGTAAAAATACTAAAATAAAATGTACTCGTAAAAAAATTCTGAGGTAGTATTTTTATTGTAGACACAAAAAGTCAAGACTGCTGGGGTCCCAAAATATAGGTTAGCTCAGTGTATAAGTCAAGCATAAACTTTATGGTTCTTTTGGAGGAAAAAAAAATACAGAATATGGTAGTTTAACTTTGTACTTTTGATGATGAGGTCTTAAAGGCTAGAGGGCATAGACAAATTAGTAACAAATTGTCAAAACACTTTATCCCTTTGAAGTTTCAATACTGACAGCATCTGAAATTTCAGTTCTCAGAGGTTTATATAGCAATATACAAGTTAAATATGAAGAATTTGAAGAGCTTTGTTTGTTTGACTATGGAGAGACTTTTGACAACATCCCTTCACTCAAAAAATTCAGGGCCATAGATACACATGAAAGTCTCTTAGGGCATACCACGCTAAAGTTCACAACAACTTCCAGAAACTAATACACCAGAATGTTCTCATTAACAGTAAAATCTCTTTTTAGCTAAAGTTATTTGATGAATATAAAGCCAAGATAAAACCAAGCTGGCTTGAACCATTCTAATGATTCCACTAGTTTGAATATTTCCTCCAAATATCTGCATCTCTAGACTAACAGCTATTTCAATCTCATGTGTAAGTAAGTTGCTAATTAATTGCCAGAATTGTATTTTGGTGATTGCCCTATAAAACTGTTAAGTATAGCACTACTTCTACAGAATGCTTTTGACAGAGCTGCTGGTATGAAAGAAGAAATTAATCTGACATTATCAATAAAGTGTAAAAACATCTTTTAATCTGCCTAATCCTCTTTCAAATGTAAATACAGTAATTCTGTAGAATGACAAGACTAAATTATAACTAAGCAAGAAAACACTCAGTTTATGAACAAGACTAAACTTGAAAGCAATGGGCCTTTGACAACCCTTCCTATAAAAAGCAGAGTAATTTAAATATCCTGGAGATGGATCACCTTACTCTCAAATACAATATTCGGGTCTCTGTGAGATGATAGGATTTAAATATTTTTGGAAACATCCAAAATTATTGCACAAAGTTGTTAATTGCCTATTCACTATTCCTGTCCTTTTATACATTGACCTTTCATTGAGACCCTCTACACATGCAGGTAAAGGTGTGGTGGGATCTAATGTGTGATCCACACAATCACATCTGTTGCTGTGGCACACGTGCTCCTCCTCTGCCAGAAGGCACAGGGGCATACCTGGGAGCCTCCTCAGTTGACAGGGTTCTCAGCCATGGGGGCACCCCCACAGCTGGGAGACCCCCAGAAACTGTCATCTCCCAGCCAGTGGGGTGCAAGGACCTCTACCCCACAGGGCTGGAAGCCCTGTCAGCTGGGACCTGCCAGGCTGAGGGGCTCACATAAGCCTGCAGCCACAGGGGCCCCTGGCCACACATTCAATTAATGGCATGATAGGAAGCAGCTACAAAGCTATTACACACATTTGTGGACTAACATGGTAGCTTGTTCCTCTTTTTATCACACCACAAACTGATTGAATATATGGCCAGGTGACCACGTAAGATATGATTAACTGCTTAATCACACCTTAGGTGTAACGTGTAGATGGGGACATTAAGATCACAAAAGTCAATTGCTTTTTGCCAAAAGTTTCATGTTTTCTTTTCCTAGTTACATCAATAAATTAAAAAGATGACAAGCAACAAGGCAATGCTGCTTCAATTCTGTGCGTGTTGCTTTTATCTTAGTTTTACTCCATGAGATCAAAATGAAGCCAAGATGCTTATATTAGACCAGGGGCGGGCAATTATTTTGGGCAGAGGGCCGCTTACTGAGTTTTGGCAAGCCATCAAGGGCCACATAACTGGCAGTCCAGGGCAGATAAATATTAATTTTCTACATTTTTTAGGGGCCCCACGAGCCGGATAGAATGACCTGGTGGGCCGCACCTGGCCCCCGGGCCGCATTTTGCCCACCCCTGTATTAGACCCTGTTCAGGAAGTTACACCTTTATAACACCTCTTTTACTACTTTCTGAACAGTAAAATACTGATGCTATAAGCAACAGCCACCAGAAGGAGCAGTTATAGACAGCAGTCTCCTTTCAACCATTAAGGCCAAACGCATGAATTATGGGCACTGACAGACATGGCAGGGGGAATGGGGTGGAACATGCATTACTGGAAGAAGGAGCGCATTACTGTGACCTAGCTCTGCAGTGCCTGTATAGATTGGGCACTTCAGTGGGGCTTTTATCTAGACCTGAGTCAATCAGCTATTAGATAACAGAGCCAAAAAAGCACCAATAAAGCACCCAATTTGTACATTGGGAAAGCTGGGTCCAACTGATGCAATGCCTCTTCTGGGCATGCGTTGGGC